CAATTGTTATTGCTGCAAAGCTGGCATATCAGGTGACGCCACGGTTTGACGTTGCCTGTGTAGTATGGGGGTAGCCCAACCAAGTGATTATATTGTATAGCCATTTTTCGGTTCAGGGTCTTTCATCTTCCAGGCTGCCTGCGCGCAGGTTTGGGGGTGGAAGATGCCTGGACGTGTAATGTTAATTTTACCTGTGATCCTTTGAATAAACCAGCACGGTTATTTTTTATATAATCCAAGTGGTCTACTTCGTCTTTGTGAGTTCCTGGTTTGAAAGAGCCGGAAGAGGCTAACGAAAAATAGCTTATAACAACCTGATGTGGTCAGGGCCTGTGGCCTTCCTGGCCTTAATCCTCAACTCCTGGTCCACCCTCTACACGTCGGACTTCAAGTACAACTCCCACCAGTGTCATCTACAAAAGTTCTCAGACGACACCGCTATTGTTGGATGTGTATCTGGGGGGGACGAGGGGGAATACAGGGGGGTTGTTACTGACTTTGTGGAGTGGTGTGAGAAAAATCACCTGGTCCTCAACACTAGCAAGACAAAAGAGATGGTGAATGACCCCCGATGGAAATCACCAGTACTCATGCCAGTGAGCTTTCAGGGCTCAGATATTGAGATTGTGGACACCTTTAAATACCTGGGTGTCCACCTCAACAATAAGCTGGAGCAACAACACAGATGCCCTGTACAGGAAGGGCCAGAGCCGCCTCCACTTGTTGAGGAGACTGAAGTCCTTTGGTGTGTGCAGGGAACTCCTTCGAACATTTTATGATTCTGTGGTGGCATCTGCAGTTTTTTACGCTGTTGTGGGTTGGGCAGGAAGTAGCACGGTCAGGTACAGAAAGAGACTCAACAAGCTGGTTTAGAGAGCTGGTTCTGTCCTGGACTGCTCTCTGGATTCCATCGAGGAGGTGGCGGACAGAAGGATGCCGGTAAAACTAACATCCATCATGCATAACCCCTCCCATCCCCTGCACCACACAGTGGTGGCTCTGAACAGTTCTTTTAGCACGAGACTGTTACATCCCCAGTGTAAGAAGGAGCATTACCCCAGGTCATCATTCCTCCCCACAACAATCAGACTGTACAACACATCACTGCAGTGATAAGATAGGTGAAATTATGAGGGACTATGCAATAATCTACTGAGGTGCAATATTCAGCTCCTGGGGATGAAATGCATTGTAAATATTGCTCCTGACCTCTCTCAAATATTGTACATTGCCCTGCTTTAGGTATTTTTGAGTAGTTCCTCTGGGATTATTATGGCTGAAACACAGCCCTTCCTTCTTACACATTGTGTGCTTTGTGCACTGGTGTGCAGTCATGTTGGAACAGGAAGGGGCCTTCACCAAACTGTTCCCACAGTTTCCAAAGTTGGGAGCATGAAATTGTCCAAAATGTCTTGGTATGCTGAGGCATTAAGAGTTCCTTTCACTGGAACTAAGGGGCCAAGCCCAACTCCTGAAAAACAACCCCACATCATAATCCCCCCTCCACCAAACTTTACACTTGGCACAATGCAGTCAGACAAGTACCATTCTCCTGGCAACTGCCAAACCCAGACTTGTCCATGGGATTGCCAGATAGAGAAGCATGATTCATCACTCCAGAGAACACGTCTCCACTGCTCTAGAGTCCAGTGGCAACGTGCTTTACACCACTGCATCCAATGCTTTGCATTGCACTTGGTGATGTAAGGCTTGGATGCACCTGCTCGACCATGGAACCCCATTCCATGAAGCTCTCTACACACTGTTCTTGAGCTAATCTGAAGGCCACATGAGGTTTGGAGGTTTGTAGCTATTGACTCTGCAGAAAGTTGGTGACCTCTGTGCACTATGTGTCTCAGCATCTGCTGACCCCGCTCTGTGATTTTACGTGGCCTACCACTTTGTGGCTGAGTTGCTGTCATTCCCAATCGCTTCCACTTTGTTATAATACCACTAACAGGTGACTGTGGAATATTTAGTAGCAAGAAAATTTCACGACTGGACGTATTGCACAGGTGGCATGCTATCACGGTACCACACTGGAGTTCACTGAGCTCCTGAGAGCTCATGGCCCTTGAAATGTGCACACATGCGTGTCATAGGTGTGCTCCAGTACTTCAACAAATAGCACTACACCTCTGCCCACATATAGTGACAGCTGCACTGTAGTTCAGGTTGACAAATCAAACACTGTCATCTGCTTTAGGCTAGCTGGCATTTAAACAGGATTTAAAGTCCAAACAGATCCTGCATTATGCTGTATGTTTGTGTAAAGGCTTTAAAACTGAAATGCTGGATTTAGCTTGACCAAGGTGTGGCCATAGCGGCCTATCAAATCAAAACCTGCAGTTGCTGTTTACTGTTCAAAACAACTTCATAATCTGTCTTATTTTCATCTTGCACAGCAACTTGGTGTATCCATTTTCTTGGCTACAATTATTACTAATTTAATGTGTGTGTGTGTCACTACCTTGTCCTTCAATCCATGTGTGCAACCCATTCCAATCAGAAACTCCACCACTCCAAGGTGCCCATGTTCAGCAGCCAGGTGAAGAGCAGTCTTTCCTGACTGGTCAGAAAGACATCAGCAGGTTACACACATGAACAACAATGTTCAATTCAATTCAATTATATACACACTGTAAACACACTCTGTACTGTATATAAACAGTGCTCAAATAAAAGGATCATGTTCTGTTCACCTTCTGTTATTGGCATAGTGCTGATATGGCAATAACATAAAGCAAAAAGGTTGTTCAAGTAAAGACATGGAAAGAAAAGAGGATGTTGGCTCTGTATGTGAAATAAACCAAGTTTATTTCATACAGTGACATTTACTATTTGTACAAATTAGTCTGTAGATTCAAAATACTGTAGCTTCAAGTAAAGAGTCACCTTGTCAACGCTGTCTAGACAGATGTCTTCCAGTTCCTCCATGACAAACTCCAATACTTTGATGTGGCCTCGCTGAGCGGCGCAGTGCAGCATAGTCAGACCATCCTAACACATACACACACACACAGACTGTGAGATACAGCGGCGGAAGAAGTACTCAGATTGTTTACTTAAGTAAAAGTAGCAGTACCACAGTGTAAAAATACTCTGTTACAAGTAAAGGTCCTGCATTCAAATGGTTACTTAAGTAAAAATACAAAAGTATTAGCAGAAAATATACTTAAAGTACCAAATGTACTCATTATGCAGAATGGCACAGTTCACATTAATGTTTATCATATTACTGGACTATAATTACTGAAGTATTATTGTGTACATCACAGTTAATGTTACAGCTGGTAAAAGCAGAGCTCATGTTAACTACCTCATATCCTTATACTTTGAAGTACTTTACATACTGCTGAGTAGCCTGTAGATTTCCCACCATGGATCAATAAAGTCTTATGATTATACAATATTTTGTTTTAATTAATCTCAGTCTAAAAAGTAACTAGTAAGTACAATATTATTCTGTTGAGTTTGGTGAAGTATGAAGTTACAGAAAATGAAAATAATCAAGTAAAGTACAGATGCCTCAAAATTGTACTCAAGTACAGTACTTGAGTAAATATACCTAGTTACTTTCCACCTCTGGTGAGTTACAGGCTATAACCTCATACTTTGAGTAGCAGCTCCTACTTCATTTTCACAGTTGAAGTTTGCACCACAGGACACCAGGATCTGCAGGACCTTTCGGTGACCGAACCAGGATGCAAGAAGCAGAGCATTCATGCCAAACTGTGGACAAACATTAATACTGTTACATGACAAGGAACCTGATAGTACCAGTACATAGTGCAGCTTCCTTACAGGCCCTGTCCCTGTTTCATTGTGCTGGTGAATAGCTGTTTCATATTAGACAGGATTCTAACTGATGTGAACACCTTGAATGTGTCAGTGCCCGTCATCATCAGGTTTCACATGCTGTTTGTTTCCCCTTGGATATGTTTGCTATATTTTTTCTTCACATTTGAAGTTAAAAGGGAGTGAAAACAGTTTATTACAACAGACATACTCAGTGACATAGAAGTTCTGGTTCACAGTTACTGAGACAGTGACTCTGCCCCCAAGTGTTATTGATTCTATACACACACATTCTCATATATATATATAATTAAATATATATAATAATAATAACATATAATAGTAATATAAGTAAATGTATAGTATTTTCCTGTATGTATTTTATTCTGCATGAAAAAAAACCCCAGTTTATTCCTTCATTTCATACACAAGTGGGAAAGTTAAGTATCTACAAAGACAGAGAGAGTGGGGATCATTTGATGTGGATCACTCGTGTATTTTTGGAAATATCAGAAAATAACCGATTTTTAGAATGTTATGTTAGGTATACTAGGATATAAATCTCTGAGTTGTACGGGTCTTATCTTTCTTTTTTTTCAAAGGAAACTGTAAAGGTACATGACAGATATTTGGTTAAAAAGCTGTTACTAGTAAGTAAAAAAGCTATTATGGGAAAAGAGGGAAGATGGCACCCCTGACACAGGAAGTGTTCAGGAAATCTAACGCCTCAAGACAACAAGAAAGACAAACAGTGGAAGAAAGGGAGACAAATGGACATTAAACAGGGGACACTGCAAAGGAATCTGTCTACAGGACTACATGAGTGATGAAAAAAAACACTTTCATGTAATGATGGGTGGGTATAACATAGTAGTATTTTATTTGGATGTTAGGGAATGAATGGATTCAGTGGTAAATCGTCACTTAGGATCAAACCGCAAACTTGTGTACATACAGAGTCCCTCTCATCAAGGTCAGTGTCATGTTCCAGCAGGAGATGGAGAGCCTGTTCGTTTCCAGCTCCGGCTGCCCAGTGCAGTGCTTTCCGCTCTACCTGTACAGACAGACAGACGGACAGCTGCAACCGAGTGATCCTCACAGCACACGCATGCCTCAAATTCTGACAATTCAAAAATGAGCCACGTCACCTGAGCAGGTAGCATCGGTTACATGCATAATGTTATATGTTTCCTGAGAAGTTAGACTAGAAAAGTGGCCATGTTTGTCCTTCAGCTGGCTTACCTTATTTTTGGCCTTAATGTCCACACCCTTCTTGATCAGTTCCTGCATTGTCCCTGTGTCATTCCTCTTGGCAGCATCATGGAATTCCTTTTCTGACGGCAACACTTTCACAAATGACAAAGTGAGATTTCTAGTGTTAAAGCCTGTTCTCTATGTAAGTGAAAAGCAAGAAACTAAAGTTGAACTGCACTGTATTCACTGTCTAGGATTTGGGTGTTAAACCTACAGTATGCCTTACTGGCTGTAGCGGCTGTGCACTGAACATGGATACACAGCATTGGATACATGAATACAGACAGTAGCCTACAGAACAGCTGTGCAGTTTATTGCATTCTGCGTGATAATATGAATGTAACAGCACAGGTGAAATGGGAGACTTCCCAAAATCCTCCACCATGCACCATGTTAAAATCGGTGAATCGTCCTTTAATGGATCAAAGACATTTTAATCCAAGCAATGTAATTGTGGAAATTCTAAGTGAGTTACGACAGTCTGTTCCCACTCTTATGAGGAGCTACTAGGGCAAAAGGGTGGCTATTAATCAGTAAGAAACGTTGCTGTCCACTGTGCTATTGGAAACATGAAGGATACCAACATGGTGTCAACAGCATTGAAATACAGCCATATACCCTGCTGATGGGCTAAGTGTCAAATGTCTGACAGATGACAGCCATCTCCTCACACACACAGCTAACTGAAAATCCATGCTGTCTGATAACATACTTACAGGCATCATCCTCCGACAACAGGTTGTTCTCCATCTTTGCGGTGTTTTAAAGGCGATATACTTTGGTCACCTCTGTCATCGTAGTGATATGGTGTAATTTCTAGTAATGTTACGCACGAAACACACGACTCGACACTGTACCGACCTTTAAATGCAGAAGAGTTTCGCCACGCCGAAAATCACGTGACCATCCCAAATGAAGTCTCATTGCATTCATATCAGCGTTCTGCCACTGTGGTCTGTTAAAATAAATGTTTTACAAAATTATTAAGACCACGTGTGTTCTTACTAATCTCCGTTTTGGCTCTCTGTGTTATTTCGTCCGTGTAAATGCTGTGTCAAATACTTGAAAACGGAAGCATTTTCTCAAAAAGCCTCGATTCCATCATTTTCCAGCTAATAAAGAGGGGCTGGGTGCAATTCCGAATTGTTATAACTTAGCCGTCAAGCACACGCAATAAAACAGGAAATAAAATGGGTCATGGGCTTCAAAATAAAATAAACAAAGTCACTACTGCAGTTAATAACAGGCTCTGCGCGCGACTGTAGTCCAATGACTTCCGGTTTCCGAGTATTGTAGTTTTCGGTTGCTTGCTGCCATAGTCAAGAGCATAGACATAATATACATAGACGCCGCGTTGAGCGGGTTGGTCCGCTGCTACGACACGTCAACGTAGGCGCCATATTGGAAGTGGCGTTCTGCACCGTGATACAATAAAAGTGAATGGACTGAACTTTATAAAACACATTTCTACGACGTATTATAAGTGATTTCCTGACATTTACCCATTCCCACACGCATAAATATGTTTAGGAACCACATAGGAACCAAAACCAACATGTGCCACGTTGTCTGATGATTATAAATGTTAACTACTCCTTATATATTTAGCACAAAGGTAGGAACCAAACCGACATATGTACTTTTCTGTTTTCATTAGTGTTTACAGCTACCAATTTTTGTAATGCTGTTACTGTGATAATAAATAACAGTTAAATATTGATTATTACATTGTCTATAGCAGTTCCTGAAATGTAGATGTGTCTATGGGAATTAAAGCACTAACGATTAGTTAACAAATTTTGATTGTTTTTATGTCCAGTGATTTTTAACCAGTAATGTAATGGGAAATAGAATAAAGCCTGCAAATAAAAAAAAAAAAACATAATTGGCTGGCTTTTACATAGAGCAGGTATAGACTATATTTTTATTTAAAACATTACCAAATGAGTAGACACATATTTACATTTCAATGGATTAGCACTACACACACACAACTATAAATTCAGGCAAGGAGGATGATGAGTAAACACACAATCCACTAATTAAATGTGATTCACATTTATTTATGCAAATAAACTGAAATAAAAAAAATGTTAAGCTCTACTTGAAATGCCCTTCTGTAACTCCAAATATCAGGCATCAGAACACTGTAATTAAAGCAAATAAAATTGTCCACCCTTAATAGCCAGGCGGTGAAATCTTTTTTTCAAAGTCAGTCAAGTCAAAGTCAATCTTAATAGTCTTAAGTTCACTTTGGGGCCTGTTTATCAACTTTTCTTTCTCTTATCTGAAATCCCAGTGGAAGAGCTGGCACGTCCCACGAAGGAGCTCCTTCTACACGCTTCAGAGACAGACAGGCCTCAGAAGATCACTACCATCTCCCCTCGTAGTCTCCTCGCAGTTGTTCTCGCCCAGAGATCAACTATAAAAAAAAACAACCTGTATACCATGCTGCGTTGAGCGGGCCAACGTCAACGTAGGCGCCATATTGGAAGTGGCGTTCTGCACCGTGATACAATACAAGTGAATGGACTGAACTTTATAAAACACATTTAAAACACATTTCTACAACGTATTATAAATCATTTCCTGACATTTACCCATTCACACACGCATAAATATGTTTAGGAACCAAAACCAACATGTGCCACGTTGTCTGATGATTATAAATGTTAACTACTCCTTATATATTTAGCACAAAGGTAGGAACCAAACCGACATATGTACTTTTCTGATGTTTTCATTAGTGTTTACAGCTACCAATTTTTGTAATGCTGTTACTGTGATAATAAATAACAGTTAAATATTGATTATTACATCTGTCTATACCAGTTCCTGAAATGTAGATGTGTCTATGGGAATTAAAGCACTGACGACTACAGTTAAATTTTGATTGTTTTTATGTCCAGTGATTTTTAACCAGTAGTGTAATGGGAAATAGAATAAAGTCTGCAAATAAAAAAAGACCATAATTGGCTGGCTTTTACATAGAGCAGGTATAGACTATATTTTTATTTAAAACATTACCACATGAGTAGATACATTTACATTTATACAGCTGTATATATAATGAAGAACATTATATGTCTATATCCATCCCGTACCCACTGTACATACAGCTACTGTCTCTGTGTGAGCTAAAACCCATTAAAAAGAACCGTTTTGCATAGTTTTTTTCATGTGTTGCCACTCTGTAACTGAAGAGTGTTCAGTTTAGCAATGTGGTGCAGCCTCAGTTTGTGGAAGGCAGACACAACCAGTGACATCATCACAAAATGGTGGTTGTCAATTCCAAACTGTGTTTCCTGAATGTGCCCCCCCAAGAAAAAAGACATCCTCTGAACCAATCTCAGCCAGACAAACTGACTGATCAAGGCCACTTTGACAGCTTGTTGTGATGTTGACTGCCAAATGAAACGCTGACCTAACCACCTTTACTGTGCCCTCAGAAGGAATCATCAGCACTCCTTTGTTCTTTAGTGTGAGCAAGTGGTAGCTCTGATCAAATGATGGAGGTATGGCATCACTCACTAAACTACCACGGCACATATCACAAGATAGGCGTTTCAAAACTTGGCGAACAACAAACCCTGAGATATAAACAAGGGCATTGTCCACAAGGCTACCAAAG